CCCCCAGACGTTCAACGTCAAGGTAAGCATCCGCCCCCATACACAATCTCTTCATCAATGTTGCTTATCGCCGATACACTGTTTGTAGCACCCCCTATATTCTCCCTGGACGCTCTGGTTCGACTCGCCCAACACAAAGGGCAAGACTCTCCCCCAGACGCCGTCTGCGTCTGTGCCCCCTACCCCGGGCGGCGTGCCTCCTACTCCAGGCGCGCTCAGCTGGATGGACGACATTAAACGATTAATTAAATTCGACTCGGTTGAAGAGTTCTGGGGGTACGTTCTTCACTTGAATTTAAATATGGCACGAGCTAACGGGCTGGATGCGTGCAGGCTTTATAATAACATCGTGTCGCCAGCGAAACTGCCTTCAAAAGCAAACTATTACCTCTTCAAAGTACGTTTTGCTCGCGTGACACTATACCATAACGAGTATTAATTAGTGTTTAGGATGATATCATGCCCGCATGGGAGGATGCAAGTAACAAAGACGGCGGAAAATGGAGTGTCCAGCTCCCAAAAGACAAAACTCGCCCCCGTATCGACGAAATGTGGCTCTACACTGTACGTTTCACAATTTATCCCTTCACCTACCCACTCTCGTTAACGAACGCACGTCTTGCAGATGCTCGCCGCAATCGGCGAAACCTTTGACCCCGCCCTCTCCAAAGCCGCCAACCCAGAATCGACCACCCCCCAACCGACCTCCCTGATCTGCGGCGTAATCGTCTCCTCCCGTCCTCAATTCTACCGAGTCTCCATCTGGACGCGTCTCGCCCCGGGCACGGTCCAGGGAAACACCAACCCAGGCGAAAGCGATGAAGAGCTCAGGCAGCGCATCGAGGCTATCGGGAGGCACTTCAAAACTGAAGTCCTCGGGTTCAACGAGGCTCAGAGGCTGGGCGGTCCGTTGGCGACCGAGGTGGAGTTTGCAAGTCACAAGGAGAGCGAGCGGAAAAATACAAAGGGGGCCAAAAAGTGGATTATTTGAGTACTGGATACGAGTGAGATGCGTTTTGAATTTCTTGCATTTCCTTTTTTTGCTTTGAATATATGTGTCTATCTTATGTGATTTCTTTTGTTCCAGAGTTGAAGGGACTTGTGCTATAAGAATCGACGGCTTGGGAGTCAAAACACTTCATTTAAATGCATAAGCTACATGGGTATTAGGGGTAACGTCCAAAACTACTTAGATCAATTCGTTCCTCATTCACTTAGAAATCAGCATAAGGAGGCGGAATGGTCTTTCCATCCTCTCCCGTCTCGCCCTGACCCTGTCCTTGCTGTCCATGCAACACACGCTCCCTCTCCTCCCGCTCCAAACGCGCCTTCTCCTCCTCAGCAGAAAGGTGTCCCTGTCCACCAGCAGAGGTGTTTCCGTGGAGCAAACGCTCACGCTCCTCCCTAGCAAGACGAGCCTTCTCCTCTTCAGCCGACTCGTGGTGCGTAGCGCCGGCGAACCCTGGGAGCTGCTCGTTCCCACCATGAGCAGGAGGTGCACCAGCTGGGGGAGCGAATCCACCAGTGTGTGTAGTATCGGCCGTAGGGACCTTACTCAGGCTTCCAGACTTGGGTCCCGGTCCCTCAGCACCAGCGCTCAACGGTACGCCAGTCTCGGCAACCGTTACATGGCTCGTATCGTTCTGAGCACCCGAGATCGGGATAGGCCCAGCGGTGGCAGATGGAGAGAGAGCAGACCCGGCGCCGCTAAAAGAGGACGGGGGTGCGTCACGGAGCGGCGAGGAGACAGATGGAGAGGTGGCAGTATTGGGGAGGGGTGCCGGCGCGTGGTTGAGCGTGGCTGGGTTGAGAGGCCCAGTGGGTCCGTGGCCGGTGGTAGCGGTCGTGTCGCTCCTAGTAATATCAGAACCATGCTGGGCGTCGGGGTGAGCACCAGGATGAGATCCGAATCGCTGTTCGGCGAGTGCGCCCGGGCCAGTGGCGGTCGAAGCAGGATGGGGAGTAGGTGCAGCAGTCGGGGGCAAGCTGTTCAGCTCCTCCTTGTGCGTCTCTCCAAAGCTCCTCGTATCCGCGCCAACACCCACACCCGGGCCAGCATGTGGCGCCCTGAACTGGTTTGTCTGGCCCTGTGCAGGAGTATACGAATCAAGCGCATGCTGTAGCTGCGACCGAACCCGCGCGGTGTTCTGCGCACCCGCATATGCGCCCTGCAGCTCATGCTCCGGCAGCTCGCCAAGCAACGCCTCGGATGCATCCGCAATCAGCGCAAGCTTCGCCCCGTACTCCTTAAACGCGGCCCACTTCTTCCTCTCGCATTCAACCAGGGCCCGACGCTTCAAGAGCGCGACTTCCTTCTCCTGTGGCGCATCGTCCGCATCCGCCTTGTTCAACTGATTCTGAAGCTCCGCGATGCGCTCAGCCCCGTTGGCAGGCGCCTTGCCGCTCGTCCCAGCCGTCCTGATGCGCTCGATCTCGGCGCGCATGTTAGCACGCGCCGTGCGACGAGGGTGGAGGGCTGTTTCGGCGTCGCGCAGGGACTTGTACGACGCACGAGCGGTGTCGAGGGATTTGGCGAGTTCGTTGGCGATGCTACCGTGTGCAAAGTTGAGGTATGCGATGCGGTCCGAGACATCCTTGACGTCTTCGACTTGTTCTTGGCCCCAGAGGTAGAGCTCTTTAGAGTGGCTCTTGGAGTCGCGCGAGACTGCTTCATAGTCGAGCTGGGGGAGATCGTTAGATCAAACTTGGTAGATTTGATGGGAGGGGCTTACTGCAACGCCCTTCTGGCTGGTGATAACCATCTGTAGTTGACGGGCATCGGGGCGCACCTGAGGCCTGTAGATATCGTTAGTCCAAGTCCGAATCACCAACGATGAGACCAAGACTTACGAGTATTGTGTATGCAGTTGCTTCAATGTATGTGTGATATTGTCGATGGCATGATGACGCCCTCCAGACTGTTGAGTAGGATCAGTCTGAGATTGTGTATGCTCGGTTGGCTGATCGTCGCCCTCGGACGTGCGATGACCATGGCCGCTAAGTGCAGCTTGGGCCTGCACCACAATTAGTCTAACGCTTTCAATGCTGAGCAGCAATTGTTTACCTTTGCTTGAAGTTTCTGGAACATATTCACTGAAGTTGAAGGAAAGATTGGATGAACGGCTCCGAGTACAAAGGCGGAAGGCTTTATATGCGGGTGGAGCACTGCCGACGTCACTGCGCTCGTCATCTGCGCAGTTGCACAGCCTCATCTCCTTTCCATTGCGTTCTATCGCAGCATCTTGGCGAACCATAGCGCATACAGCGTAACGCCAATTAGGAGCTCGGTGCGCGACTGCCGATGGAGACTGTCTCCTCTTTGACAGGCCGCAGTTGCACGAACACCAGGAGCCTGTACCTATAACATAGCTCAACTGATACGGCCGCCGCGTCCCGCAGCGAGGAGATGTGGATTGTCGAATAGTAAGCTGAGATTCAAAGGGGGTCTGTTGTATGTGAACAAAAACGCTCCCAAGCACGGTCCGGTACACTGCAACTGCAAAAGGCAAAGACAACACTGTCTACCGGCCAACTCTAAATCTGCCACGCATCCTCAAAAAATAAGCTATTCCCGCCAACAGACCTCCCAAATGCCCAGCACTATCAGTCATCCCTCCTCGTCGCTTGAGTGCACCATAAAAGTCCCAAGCAAAGATCCCACTGACGCACAACCATGCTGGGACCGGAACGATAAAGAACAAGAGGAAGGTGGTACTTGGGAATAGACAGGCGAACAAGGAGATGACGCTACAGAAGCTAGTTTAAGTCACGCTCACACGACAATGACAACGGTGACATACCTGTAGATTGCTCCTGAAGCACCATGCGCATTTACGGATCTTTGCGACACAACGGCGTTCCATGCCAACGAGAAGGCGCTAGCTGCGACTCCTCCACCCAGGTACAGTGCCAAGAATGCAGAGTTCCCAAGCAGACGCATGACAGGCGGGGCCATGAACCTTTGAACCCCGGGTCAGTTAGACCAGAAGAGCCACAATCTGCCTATAACGTACCAGAACGACATTCCGTTCACTAACAGATGTCCAGTGGCCTCATGAGAAAAGCAAGCAGTCAAGAGCGTCCAACTAGAAAGTGAACAATCGTAAAAATGACATGAGTCTCCTCTCCAGTCAAAGCATGTACTCACACTCTCCCGTCCATGACATTCCTCCAAGAAGTCGTAAAGTTGTTGTACATAAATGTAAGCGGCCCCGGATCCCGAAACTTTTGCTATAAAGGGGATGTCAATAAGCCGCGCGTGGTGCCACAGCGGCCCAAAAGACATACGTAGTTCTCCTGTCCCCATGCCCACATCGAAAACACGATCCCATTAATCCCAATGATCGCATAAAATATATAATCTGGATTCGTCCCATCAATCCGTCTCTTCCACCTCTCAACCAACCCACCGCCACTCCCACCACTGCTCGCAAGAGGAGATCTCTCAGGACGAACAGCTCGTCGAATGGGAGTTCGTTCAAGAGCACTCCTCAGACCGCGAGTGAATGCTAAGATAGGAGACGACTTATTGAGCAGCGTGCGAGGATTGGATATTTGTGGGGGAGGTGTCGGGGAAGTGGAAAGGTGGGATAATCGGAAGGAGAGTCTAGTTTGGCTGTGGAGGTTAGGGGGCCGGTAGAGCGGAGTTCGGAGCTGGGAGCGGGTGTTTGCAAGTAAATGGCCTCTAAGAGAGGATAGGCTAGTTAATCGTGTTGCCATTTAATTTAGGAGGCCGGAGTGACGTAGCGGCTACAGCAGGACAGAGTGGGAGCAAGACAGACTCTGGGAGCAAGGCGTGCGTATGCACGTGCTAGACAACAGACGACTCCAGAGTGCAGCAAACAGGCCGTCAGATATAGGCTGCGTGGCTTTTGTAGAGACAACAACTGAGCGAAGGGGGTTGCCAAAAGCAAAATGACGATTCGCGCTGACTGGATTGCCATGATGGGATACCCGCAATTTGGGTAAGTATGAGTAGCTAATTTGGTGTCAATAAAACATCTCTCATGGCGCAATCGGTGGCGCGTCCGACTGTTAACTCAGCAGATCATCGGAAGGTCGTAAGTTCGATCCTTACTGAGAGAGTTCTTTTTGCTTTGCTTCCCGGCCACGTCATAGCATCTTTACTCCTTCCCTTTTTTGCAATCTAGCCGCTCGCCTGCTGCGAATATCGAGATGCATTACTTATCACATTGTTTTAAGAACACTTGCCTCTTTTAAAATTTATCGGGCGGAGTATGTTCAAGTTATTAGATAAGTTGATTGTCTATCATATTTTATGTGTTGTGTCGACATCATTGCTGAGCTCAGGTGCTCGTAAATGCACCGAGAAACACATAATTCTTGAATACCTCCACTGCTCAACTCTCGCCTGCAAATGTACAAGTCTCGTCAAGTGAACGCCCAATCGAATTAATTTCACCACAACGACAGCTTTATTGTAAAGATAACAGTTGAGAACATCGAGAAAGCGAATGATACAAGAAGTAATAAAGCTGGGGGTGTGGGCTCTAGGTGTACAGTATGTGTGATATAGCGGATGTTTTAAGGATCACAAGCTGGGAGGCTGGCGAAAGCGGAGGCAATTAATGTGAATGGATCACGGGTCTAGGTTGGTGAAGCCGCTGCATAGGAGCGCGTGGTAGTTGTCTGGGGTCTTGTGCATAACTGAAACGGAGCGGGTTTAGAGCGGACAGAGAGTGGAGCAGAGGATTCGAACATACTGCATTTGAAGCGCTCAGAGACGTTGGGCATTATGCTCTGCGAGGACAATAGCAAAAGACGTCAGATCGCTGTCACTGTAATGAAAAAGGAGTACTTACTCCATCCTTAAGTCGGATCGAGTAGGTCCAGTTTCCGTTGACCTCCTTCATATCGACGACGGTGCCTACGTTCGATCCCACGACGTTAGCCACGCCAAAACGTTTCAACGACAGCTGCAAGCGCAGGGAAGACATTTGGGATCTAGATCGCGCACGCTTACCTGCTACCCAGCGAACCTGTTGGTATGTCTGCGGCTCGACACTCAGGTACTTTGCGAACACCTTGTCTCCCTTCTATATATGCACATTTTCAGTTTCTCCGAAGCTGTTAGTGACAGAGTACTGGGCGGTACGCACCAAGTAAGGCATGGACATCTTGGACGATTAGAAAACGGGTACGTTCGAATGGGGATGTAAATGATACTGAGAGAATCGGTGTGACCGCAAATCGTTCTTTTAACCACCGTCGGGCTATTAGAACTTGAACCCCTACACGGAAAAGCGCACAAGCAAAGGACCGAGCAGTAGTTTCGACAGTAGTGCGGGGGGCCTTTGACCTTGCCGTTGGCAACAGGTGTTCAATGGAGGGGGTCTGCTGTCTTTGACTTTTCTGCCAAACAAGTGGACCCTGAGTTTTGCCATTTTGGGCCTCAAAGGTCCTCTCACCGGGAAACGTGTTACGACGAGCAGCCCAAAGAACAAAGAGATAAGTATTATGTCATAAGAATTGGGCGCTGGTCACTAGCGTCGTCGTCTGCCGAAGCCGCGGCCCAGAACGAATATTAGTGTGAATTGCTTTTCTCGCTTTGTGAAGCAGGGATAAGAAATTGAGTCACCTAAATTCGGGACAACGAGTACAATGGATCGTGCGCCCACGCCCGACGCCGACACTAGTAAAATGTGCGTCCATGTGTCGTCCGTCGGCGGTGGAGATATGTCGAGCAATATACTAAAAATCAAAGGAATTCAGCAACAATAAATTCCGGGCTGGCCTTTATTGTGTTGAATATGTCGTTTTAGTGCGTGTTGACATCCAGGAAAGAAGTTGAGATATACGAGCTCGTTGTTGCGGGGGCTGCAGGGGCGCAAGTGACAAAGCGTGCGGCACTGCCACAAGTCGACTGGCCTCGCCACTTCGACTCGACCCGACCACCACTATGTCATCGACAAGTCAAAACCCACTGGTCCAAACTCCAGCTCTGGCCGATGTGGTTCACCCCGACTTTCATCAAGTAAATTCTAACGTCGAGGTTTACATCAAAAATCAGCTGGGGCTAAAACTTGATACTGGTACGTTCTCCGCCACGGAACATAATCACGGAATAACAAAAACATCTCCTTTGTAGACGAACAAATATGTCGGCTTGCATTAACCCCGGCAGGGTGTCCACTTGGACCGCTTCATTGCCCTTTGAGACATACCACGCCAAGTCCACTGAACTTTGGTCCCGCAGATGCTTCGGCTGCGAATCTGGGCCGCGACCGGCTTGCGACCGTGTGCAAGCACTGGCTGCGTGGACTTTGCAAAAAGGGTGATGCATGTGAGTTCCTTCACGAGTACAACCTTAGGCGCATGCCAGAATGTTGGTGGTTTGCGCGCCACGGGACGTGCACGGCTGGTGACGAATGTCTGTACGCGCACCCTAAAGAGCGGAAGATAGAATGCCCGGACTATCAACGAGGATTTTGCAAGTTGGGTACGTGTGAATCTGGGTCTCTCGTGGTTCTTTTTTAATTAACAGATCTGCAGGGCCCGACTGTCCTAGGAAACATGTCCGACGGGTTGCTTGCCAACTTTACTTGAGTGGGTTCTGCCCAGATGGACCAGATTGCAAGCGTGGACAGTGAGTTGAACAGGCAATACCCGATTGGTGACATACTGATCACTCTGCTAGTCCCAAACCCGACATTCCTCCCCCAGAAGCATACCGACCTCCCTCGCCACCCTCCCAGCGTGACCTTGGACCTCCCCCACCTGGGTATGGTCGGTTCAACGATCATGGTCCTAGTCAGGGTGGTCCTGGAGGAGGCTTCGTGGTCGGACCGAACAATCCTGGGTTTGTTCCTAGACGTAACTTGGATGAGGTGTTGTGCTTCAAGGTAAGATTCTTCGAAGGTATTGCTGTTACTCCGAGACTGAGATGATTTCTCTCGGTAGTGCGGACAAAAGGGCCACTATGCGAACACATGCCGGAACAAAAACGTACCAGGGAACCGTGGGGGACAAGAAAGAGGCAACTACCCGGGATTCGAGGGGGAGTAGTTTTGGTGCCTCTTCCTCCATCCCTACAAGTCCGTGTCAAACCGGGTTTCACAGACTCTGCCTCCTTTGCTGCAAAAGTAGTACTTATTCGCTTTGGTTTCTCTGCTTCAATAACTTGAATAATCCGAATAGAATCGACGTATTGCTTAACAGGGTATTTTTAATGTAGTTTGCAGATCCAAGCAGTGTATTTACATTTTATTGGACATACAAATATAGCAGTTTGTCTCGCTCAAGCGCTGGATTGGTCTTGGCGCTGTCATGTTTAGGCCTTGCCTACACAGCACCAAGGCACCACGAGTTACTTATAAATACCACCATGCGCCTGTAATCATCCAATGCGCTCCTCACTTCGTCGTGTATTTTCGGCCCTCCAGCCAACCAACATGGACACAAAAATACTCAAATCTCGAATCAAAGGCAGCCTCTGGGGTCTTCCTGTTGGCGACGCCCTCGGCGCACCATATGAGGTAATAATTTGGTTGCAATGCCCGAGCTATTGGATATCATAACCAACACTTCCCAATTACATTTAGTTTAAGAGAAGAGGGTCATACCAGCCGACCAAAGAAATGGAAATTTGCGAAACGTTCGAGTACGAGGTGTGTGAGCCACATATCGGCATGCTACCGCGGCCTAACGACTTCTAGGGCAAACCGCTTGCCGCGGGATCATGGACGGACGACACGTCTATGCAGGTTCGTATCCGCCCCCATTCAGTAATAGTAATGAGTGTATTGACGTGACACAACCGTAGTTATGTTTAGCAGTGTCTTTATCAAACACTGCTGGACAACTTGATTGGGTCGACGTTGCTCGACGATGGGTCAGTTGGTGGCGTCATGGTTCGCAAAACAGACTCACTCTCGTGATATCATCTGATTTCTCGCATAGGCTATCTATCAGTAACTGGGGAATGTTTCGATATTGGTAAGTCGATTCTGTCTTGCTCAGCAATACAATCCTAAATGCTTGTTGTGTGGTAGGCATAACCACCCAAGCGTCGCTCCTGACATACGTCAAGCTCCTTGACTCTAACTATCCTAGGCCGACTCACGAGCCCAACTCGAACCCGGCAATCGTAAACTCCGGAAACGGCTCACTAATGAGACTATCACCTGTCCCAGCAGCTCTCCACCACGATCCAGCAATCGCTATAGCAGCTGCGTCACTCCAATCAAGGGTCACGCATGCGAGTCCTCTATGCGTCGACTCGTGCGTTCTCGCTACCGCATACATGATTGGGTTCTACCACGCCAAGGGAGAAAGCGCAAAGGAACGGAAGCAGGCTGTGCTAAGCTCGGACTTCACCCCGTTCGCCGACGGATCCCAGATTCTGCTCGTAACCTCCGAGCTGAAAGCAATTCATGAGCTCCATGCGTACAAGGACAAAAATGCCTCGGATATTTCGACTGATGGCTTTGTTTTGTCGACGCTCGAGGCCGCTCTCTGGGCTCTCTGGCATGGAAACTCGTTCGAAGAAGTGAGTGCCATCTCATCTTTCAGGCTCGAGGGCGTTAATCATATTAATTTGTTCCCCCAGGGATTAATGCTCCTGCTCCCTCTGGGAAGTGATGTGGATACGGTCGGAGCTGTATATGGCCAACTAGCGGGAGCATGCTATGGATACGAGGAGATTCCATCAAGATGGTTAAAGAAGTTGCAGCGTCCTGATGTGCTAAATAACGCATACAAGGGGATTGTTTCACTGGGCTTGAAATTGTAATATTTTACTGAATTAGATCCATTTATCCGGACTAGCGCCGCGACAAGGTTAAAGCTGAATTAATGGTACGTTGGGAATCTTCATGAAATTCCGGCCCTAGTTTGGATTGTTAGTGCGTGAACTATGGTTGTGCGAGCCAGCGCGCACCTTGAATGCGAAAAGAGCTAGAACTTTACTAAGATTTGAGTGGACGCGGTTCTTTACCCAGGAGTGATCAGGCCGGTCAACTGATTCTTACGGTGTCTTCAGCGAATCGGCTGCAACGTAAGACATCTTTTGTTGCGAGAATCGGCGACTCAAGCCCTGGTTCCTGCTCAGCGAGACTTCCAGCGAC